TGTACTTGAAAGGAACTATGTATGTTATTATGATTCCTGGAAAGATGTGTTTATCCCATTTGCTTCTCACACCAACTCCAGGAAGTAGTATTATTATCAGACAGATACAAAACTGAGGTTCAGTGAGGCTAAGTGACCTGGTGAAGGTGGGAGTACTGAATTGTAAACTGGGAACGAATGAATGATTGTGCTTTCCAATATCACTGTGACAGAAGGAAAGAAAAAATCATCCATCTACTTTGCTTGAATACCAACACATATATAAGTGATATTTATTTCATTGGCGATACAGTATTTTTTCAAGAATGTCTGACAATTGGGCGCCTGGGTGGCTCAGTTGGTTAAGTGACTGCCTTTGGCTCAGGTCATGATCCTGGAGTCCCAGGATTTGAGCCCCACATCAGGCTCCTTGCTCAGCGGGGCGTCTGCTTCTCTCTCTGACCCTCCCCTGTCTCGTGCTCTCTCTCTCAAATAAATAAATAAAATCTTAAAAAAAAATAAAAGAGGGTGGGGGGATGGGTTAGCCTGGTGATGGGTATTAAAGAGGGCACGTTCTGCGTGGAGCGCTGGGTGTTATGCACAAACAATGAATCATGGAACACTATATCAAAACTAATGATGTAATGTATGGTGATTAACATAACAATAAACAAATTAAAAAACAAAACAAAAAAGAATGTGTGACAATGATCTCAAGCAGACCATCTATTGTCACTACCATCCCTGTCTCATCTTCCATGCTGGCCTTCAGATTTTCTATGGATAATTGTTGTCTTTCCAATATTTTAGTAGAGCTCAGTGCTGGCCACATAAGTACTCAAAGCAAAAACTGATGAATGGATATATGCATTAAATATTCTTCCAATAAACCTTAACACATAAGCTATGATTTTTGCAGTTTAATTTTTGGCTTTAATTAAAATCAGAGCCTGCACTTTGTCTGGGGACCATGTGTCTAGCAGAGCCGCCATTTTCAACCATGGAGGAAATCATCAAAAGAGACAGCCAACTCACCTCTCAAGGGTCATTTCTCCAACACAACATATCTAACAAACCAATCAACCAATAATCAACCAGCCAAAAAACAAAACAAAACCCAAACCAAACTCTGAGTCACAAGTGATGCATTAGTAAATCAATCTATGAACATATTAACCAACTTTCCTGTGCTGCCTGCATAGGATAGTAGCCTTTTGCTTTCCCCGAGCCACTCTACTAAATCAATATTCCTATATCAAAGATGTTTTGAAAAAAGAAGAATGATGGAAAATGTGAAACTTGGCTTCCTGTTCCTGGGACAGAATAATTTCTCCCCACTTAAGGCTTAGAAATTGGATCACTTTTGGCTAATTCCCCAGGAAAGCAACAACAGGTGTGGAAGGGACCCACAAAAGGAAAGAATATAATACACGTCTACTTTATTCTGGCATGCAAGGAAGGCTCTGGGATTCTCACTTCATTTCTTCTTGTTTTTAATACTTCTAACATTCCTCTTTTGCAAATTCAAGTTTCTGCCATGAATTACACACTCCTAGATGCTTATATTCAGAAAGGGTTAGGTTTGCATTTAATTGTGACCCAATGTTTCAATTTTATCCAGCACAAATGAGCCTGGTGAATACTTACATTGTCTGGAGCCTTCCGAGTCCATGAACTTCTAAGCAGAAACAGTCAAGTTTTTCTATTGTTCTGGAACAGAAGCACTGTATCCAGTAAGTATATGAGGCCACAACTAACCTCTTTAAACATGTCCTTTTACCCTTTGAATGACTCAAATTCAATATCCTCAAAGTCTTAGGGCTGTGGGGTTTAAATAAATGCCAAGTGAACTAAGAAAGTACACAACATTCTAGTTCTTATCAGACTAACATGGCTTTTAAAAGAGGATGTATGGGGGTGCAGAAAACTGTAATCAATAACAATAGAGAAATTCCATTAAATACTCATTCAAACACAATTAGAAGACAAAGTGGATTCCAGCACTCATTTGATCTATGTGTAAATTAGTGTTTTTTCCTTTTTTCCATTATTTTAATGAATATTTTTAAAAGTCATGTAAACAATTGTTTTCTTTCTTACGAGGACAATCTTTAAATAGCAACTAGGCATTTACTACTTTTACATCCTTCCGTTTCTCTAATTCTTACTGTCAGATCACTTTGAAAAGCAATCCTTCGTTCCTCCTCTGAATGCAAATGCAATTTATTTGCCTCTATTTTTATTCTTCAGAGATTTTTCTCATTTTCCCCCTTTCTCTATCATTATGTGCCAAAAGAATTCTGCGAGACCTCCAGGATTCATCGATTTGTCCATTAGAGAAAAGAACGCAGTTCAAATGCAGAGATTTGTTTTTGCATAGGCAAATTACTTCTCCTCTTTATGCTTTGATTCCTAGTCTGTAATTAGACTAATAATAGTCTCTATCTCAAGGGGTTGTGAAGCTTACATGATTCCTATCAAGTGCTTTCCACAATGCAGCTGCATAGTAAATTTAATAAACATCAGGCTTATTACTAACATTATTTTTGTCTTTGTTACTCAATAAATGCTGTACAATGTATTGAGCTAGGTGCCATTAAGAATACAAAAGATGAATAAAACTTGGTCCTTGCTTTTTAAGAAAAGACAATATTAATAAAGGCAAGTCTGTCTACCTGCAGACAGTCAGGATGAACAGTAAAAAACGTTACCACAGTGGTATCAATTGGGGGGATTTGACTTGGGGGCTCCGGAGAAGGGTTAGGGTTCCTTCCCTTCAACAGAATCATTGAAAATTCTAATAAAGTGATGGCATTATTTAACTGAAACTTGACAGAGCTTTAAAAAAACAAAAACCAAAACAAAACAAAAAAGCCAAAAACAAACCTGTGCTGTAACATTATATATTATCTATTATTTTAGTAAGTTAAAAAGAGTATTTGTTTTAATTTACATAATCTTTGTTTATCAAATGAGGCTATACCTTTATCCATTGCTTATTTGTATTTGTGCATCTGTGTGACTTGTCACTTTATGCCCTTAGCCTGTTCCTCATGAGATTCTGTGCTTTTCTATTATCGTGTAAAAGCACTCTATATTTTATGAGTCACAAATATTATGTTAATAGATTTCTAAATATCGACCCATCTTTGCATTTCTAAAATTAACTCCACTAAATTTGGCTTTACTCGTCTGTGATGTCGGACTCTACTTTCTAATTAATGAAATGTTTATAAGAAACTGTCTCCATTCCAGCAGTCCGTCCCCTGGAAAAGGGTGAAAAAATTATGCATCCTCAAACTTACAGGGGCCAGGCACTTTCCACAGCATTTGCAAATAAAGTAAAGATCTGTTTTGCCTCCTTACCCAACTCCCACCTTAAAGGTGGAAAAGGGCTGCATTGGAAGTGAAAGGGAAGAGGGAATTTCTTTGGAGAGTATTTCTGGCATTTGCACAATTTCTTTTTCTTTTTTCTTTCTTTTTTTTTTTTTTTGGCTCCCTCTACTCCCCACATGGAAGAGAAGATTGGAAGTGTTTTTCTTTACCTCAAGCTGAGTAAGGTCTTGGGTATATGACATGTGTCTCTAGCAGGTTGGGGGGAGAAAAAGAACTTTTTGGCATATTGTATTTTCCAAAAAAAGGCCAGAGTAATATACTCTTCCAGAACATGACCACTTGCAAGAAAAGGAGGAGTCTCTTTGCCTCCCTTTGAACATGGGTGAGAAGGGACTACTCTATCAAGAGCACAGAATGATGCTGTGTGATTTCCAAGGCTAGATCATAACATGACATAACTTCTGCCTGACTCCTTTTCCTTGGGTTGCCCGTTCTGGACAAAGCGGGCCCCCTGGCTGTGAGGAAGCCCCTACATAGCCCACATAGACAGGCTATCTGGAGAGGAACTGAGACCCCAGCCAACAGCCCACGTTAGCCACTGACATACACATGGACTACATTTAGACTCTTACAGACGGCAGGCACACTGGCAGCAAGCCAAGGATGTGGGAACTCTTCAATGGGAGGAGGTGAAGAGGCCAGCCTAGAAGAGATTCCACTGGAGAGAGATGCCTTGAGAGGCAAAGTGACCTAGCTGAGGGGGGCTGACATTAAACAGAGGTTGAGGGAGACAGCTAGAGTAAGGAGAGACATTAGATCACCCAAGGCAGAATATCGAAGAAGCTCCAGAAAGAAACCTTTCTTTCTCTTTCTTTGTCTTTGAAGTCTTAAGGCACCAGTGCCAAATTCCAAGTATAGCCTTCCAGTTTTACTGTATTCTTCACCACCTTGTGCATAATTGTAAACCGAAACTGTAGCTAGCAAGGAGAAAGCTATGAGCTTTATCAGGAGCTGGTTTTGAACAGAGTAGAGAGAAAAAATGAAGGGTCATTTACTTTACTATTTACTTCATGCTACCAAGTCTGTCTCATTTATTTAAAAGGTCTGTAACTTTTTTTCTTTTTTGACAGTGTCATGAAGTATTGATGTGAATATTTTAACTATTTCTTACAAAAACTTGGATGACATTAAAAGCACTGTGTTGACATCATTGACGTTTTGATAGAATTCACCTGTAAAAATGACTCATCTTGATATTTTCTTTGGGAGAGGAACCAGAGGCAATTTTTGGCAAATTTATCCATAGTAATTAGTGTCTGTAGATTTTCTATATTTCTCTGAGGTCAATTTTTTGTTGTTGTTGTTGGAACAACTCAGCAAAATAAAATTCCGGTTTATTGTTGGACAACATTGTTTCACACATACATCAAACAGGCCAAAAAAAATAAACAGCAACTTCATAGACAAAAAAGGAAAGAAAGAAACCTTTTATCTTTGGCCTTTTTAACCATCTCATACAAACCAACTACTTACAGTACAGCTAAGCACATACACAAAAAAAGTTACTGGAATGCTCGGAATAAGATTGTTTTTTTGTTGTTGTTTTTGCTTTTTTTTTTACAAGGTTTTTTTTCTCCTTTGAGATTATAATGAACATGGTCACACCACAAGTAAAGTCAGAAGTAGGACAGAGAACGCTCCAAAGGCTGGTTTGGTCATCCGAGATCATTAAAAATGGCTGACCCCTAACAATATGTACAAAAATATAAAATGTAAATAAAAAATACAAACAAATTTTCCTTTTTAAAGTACTTTTAAGAAAAAAAGCAGGGCCTTGGAAGTTTTGGTTCTTTTTTCCTCCCCTGTTGCAAATTCACGTTGTGGTTTTGGCTGGGTGGCGGAGAGCGTGTGTCATCTGCGGGTGGCGCTGCCCGCGTTGGGCAGGCGGGCGGGACTCTCTACTCGAAGGTGACCACGTTTAGATTCTGAGACGGGAAGTGGAGGGTGAATAGGTCACGGTGGCCTTTTTTTTTTTTTTTTTGTTAAGTTTAACTTTTCCTTTTTTGCTGTCTAGTCATCCTCATCGGTCTTCTGCTTCTTGGTGTCGACATCGTCATCCTGCGCAGAGAAAGACGGTCAAGGCCCCTGCAGCCCCCTGGGCCCACCCCCACTCCTGCGGGCAGAGGCAAGGGGCCAGGCACTGGCTGCTCCAGACGCTTCCAGAGCTCTGGGAAGGCAGGCCTACGTTCCTTCCTGTTCCTGCTCAAGGTACGGAAGCCTTTTGGGACCACGCCACGGAAATCAGCCCCTCTGGCTGCTACTGTGCCTCACATCCCAACCCCCACCGAAGCCCAAACCCACCTCATCGTCTTCAGCTGCCCGTTTGCCCGTAGCTGCCTCGGCCTCCTCGTCTTCGTCTCTGTCCTCTTCCTCACCATCGCCTTCCTCCCGCTCCTCCTCTTCCTCCCCCCCTTCCTCTTCTTCATCTACCTCATTGTCGGCCTCCTGCTCCCCATTTTCCTCATTAGCGTTCCCATCAGCAGGCGCGTCTCTTCCATTCTCTGCCTCCTCCACAACTTCCTTCTTCTCCTTTAAGTCTTTGGTGGTGATCTCGGAGCTGGTGTCCACGGCCGCGTCTGACATGATGGGGCACGCCGGTGATCCGATGCAGCGGATTAAAGAGAAAGCAAGAGTTCAAGGACTCTGGCGAGAAAGCTGCCTGAGTCCGCGGTGGCGGAGGAGGCGCGCGGCGGAGGTGGTTGCGGCGAACGGGGAGCCGGACACGGGAACAATGCAAAGGTGGCTTTTCAGAGCAGCCAGTGGGGTGTCTGAGGTCAATTTTTGACAAACTCCATTTTTCTAGAAGATTGTCATTTTTATCTGCATTTTAGTTGAATCCAACTGATTATTTGCTCATGATGGTCACTTATTCTTAGCTGGATTCCTAAGAACCATGGATATCTGGCTGACTATAACTCTTTTCCTTGTTTGCAGTTAATTTTTTTCACAATCTCCATATTTTAGATTTATGATAGTCATTCTTTGCTAGTTTACTGCCATAACATAAAACTTTCACATCTGTGTGTGAACGAGTGTGTGCACGCACGTGTGTGTGTGTGTGCGCACGCGTGTGTGTGGGGTCCTGTTCAGAGCTCTGTTCCTGGCTTGCAGATGGGCGCTTTCTTGCTGTGGCCTCCCATGGTGGATAGAAAGAAAGTGAGCTCTCTGGTATCTCTTCTTAGATGAGTATGAATCCCATCAGAGCAAAGCCCCATCTTCATGACTTCATCTAACCTCCCTTAACACCCCGAAAGCCCCATCTCCAAATACTATCACATTGGGGGTTGGGTCTTCAACATATGAATTCTGGGGTCACACAAACAATCAGTCCATAGCATGTACACAGATACACACACATCAACGGTTGCTTGCAGATATAGTGGTGTTTGATTGGAGGGCTGAAAGAAGAGATAGTGAGTCACATGGCTATCTAGAGGAAGAGCATTCCAAGGAGAAGAGAGAGACAGGCTCAAAGACCAGTGTGGAGGCCAGTGTGGCTGGGTGGAGGGAGAGAGCAAAGGAGGGAAGAACACCAGGTGATGAGATTAAACAGCAAATTAGGGCCTAGATTGTGGTAAGATGCCAAGTGGGAAAGAAAGTGTGGGAGCCTCTGAAGCCAAGGAGTGATACAGCACAAAAGGTAATGTTTGTACAAAGTGATGTTGTGCTTTAGGAGCATATGGTATTATGATATGCTGGTATTTTTGAAGCATTTTAAAACAGAGAAATTAAGGAGTTGCATGGGAATCGAAATGTTTATGGAGTCACAGCTCATCGATGCTGAGTTTAGTCATTGTTCTCTTTGTTAAAAAAATGCATCCTGCAATAACAATCCCTCTCCATTATTGTGAAACCTCATTATTTAAATTTAATTTGTCAGAGGTTCCATTTTAGATGTTCAGTTTTTAATTAAAGTGAATGATTAACATTTTGATATTAATTTTATATATTGGTTCAAGTGTAAAGATGTAAATATTTAACTTAATAATGTGTTGCTTATGTATTATTATAAGGAAAAACAGAAGAATATTATGTGCAAGAACCTGCTGACCTTGACCATGTTCTGGAACGAAACCATGCTCTTCAGTTTTCTGTGTACTTTTTGCATCAGTTGTTGTGCTGCTCTTGCAATGTCCACCTCTTGAAATATTTCGAAAGCGAGAAGTTAAAGAGGCAGACTGACAAAGCAACCTTCTGTGATCGGATATAATTTTGCCACCTGAGATCCATGAGGTGGATGGAATGGTGGGCTGGCGCTACCATTGTGCCAGGTAGCACTAGCTCATAATGAAACGTGAAGGCCCCTGTTGCTGCTTCTCTCCCCTCTCTATCCAGGGTCCACATGCATCACCAGTGATGCAATTTTTCTTGTCATATGAAGCAAGGAGAATCTGAAGGAAAACGTCTGTTGACATAAAAGGAAAGAAAAAGAAAAGATGATTTCCTGAATTATGTAATAAGAAATAAGAGATAGATCGGGGCACCTACGTGGCTCAGTCAGTTGAGTGTCCGACTCTTGGTTTCGACTCAGGTCATGATCTCAGGGTTGTGGAATTGAGTCCTGTGTTCGGTCCATGCTCAGCAGGGAGTCTGCTGGAGAATCTCTCTCCCTCTGCCCCTCCCCCCTAAAATAAATAAATAAATCTTTAAAAAAAGAAATGAGATATATCAGCCAACATATTGTATTTTTGATGTGTATATTGCATTTCACCAGTTTATAGCAAGTTGCAACAATGTCTGATACCTGTTTTTTTTTTCTTGAATAACAGTTTGAATGGTATCATTCTAAGAAAAGGTTTATAAAATTTAAGATCATTCCTCCACTAAAACAGCACTGACTAGGTTAACCAAATCATTCTGGTAGCTATGTAGCTAAAAATCAGATAGACCTTCATTCCATAGTCTATTATTTTTTATGAAAGAAAAACAGTGGCAGGGTTTTAACAATGCGATAAAACAGTCCAAAGAGCAATCCAAAATAAAAGAATCTTTGTCCTCTGTTAGGAGGTGGCATCATCCCTTAAGACAGTTGTCTCCAAATCTACTCATATCCTACTTCTCTGTTAATGATGCCTTCACTGTTCTGTGGAGAAATGGGTTAAAACCAATGCGGTTTGTTTCGTTTTTCGAAGTAGTAAATATAATCAATTTAAAGAACTGTCTTTCATTTTCCTATTTTATCTTTCTTACATTTATGGTGTTAAAATGCTTGCTCCTTTAGAAAATAGGGGTGCCTGGGTGGCTCAGTCAGTTGAGGGTCCAACTGTTGATTTCGGCTCTGGTCGTGATCTCAGGGTCGTGAGATCGAGGCCACATGGGGCTGTGCCCTGGGTGTGGAGCCTGCTCGAGATTCTGTCTCCTTCTCCCTGTGCCACCCCCTGACTCCCCCCAACCCCCCCAAAACAAAAAAGAACAACAAAAAAAGAAAATAGTTAATAATGATTTTGTTTTCTGGAAATTTCTCTCGGCTGACTTTCTCCAAGTTCTCAACATCGCTAAGATTGTTAATGAAGACAGTGTCATTAGTAAGGTGCCGTTTGGGCTTCCATTTTTATTTCCAATCTCCCTTGTTTTGCTTCCCAACTGACCCTGTTTCAGATCAGTAGCCAGCAGAAGCTAAGAAAAGGTAACATTCTTATGTCTTGTCACTCTAGATTTCTCTTTGGAAGATTATATTTCTCTTGGTAAAATATTGCCTTTTCTCTCTTCTATTACCCTGTCTGCAGGCGGGTTCAACATTCCTACCCTGTTGAATTCAGAAAAGCCATGTGATTTACTTGCAGCAATAAAATGTGAGTGGAAGTCACATTTGTCATTAGGAGCCATTTTTTAGTTCATGGTCTCTCATCACAGTCTAGTGCATCATATTCTCTTCTCTCCCATTTAAGAAGTCTTTGCCTGAGTTAAAGTGGCAAAGATATTATCCTATGCTTTCTTCTAGAAATTTTAATTGTATGCTTAGGTCTATGAGATATCTCAAAATTTAAGATTTAAATTTAATTTAATGTTGTATATGGTGTGATGTAGATATCAAGGCTCATCCCCCCCCCATGGGCATATTTACTTATTCTAATACCGTTGATTAGATATCATTCAGGCTTTGAGTTTTCCTTGCCTGAGCAGACAAGAATACTACAAAAATCTTCACATATTTTGGAGCAATAGCATTTTCCTATGGTTATATAAATTAATACTACACAGTTCAGCATTATTGGATCTCTCTTCACTATGATGGCAGTCTGCAGGGGAGAAAGAATTTCAGAAGAAAACTTAGAAATCGTACCAAAATAAATTGGTTACTTAGCTAAGTATAGGGGAAGGGCTGAAGAAAAAGTTTGGGAAGGGAATTGTATGAGGGAGCTAGGGGTTCATCTCTAATAATGGGAAGTTGGTAGATAATATCTAAGTTGAATACATGAAAAATAGTGGTATAAATGTATGGTTTAGGAAAACAGAGTTAAATGGCAGGACATATAACTAAAATTTCACTGAAAAATTTTTTTTAGAGATTTTATTTATTTATTTGTCAGAGAGAGAGAGAGCAAGTGAGCACAAGCAGGGGGAGCAGCAGAGGGAGGAGAAGCAAGCCTCTCGCTGAGCAGGGAGCCCGATGTGGGACTCAATTCCAGGACCCTGGGATTATGATCCAAGTTGAAGGCAGAGGCTTAACTGACTGAGCCACCCAGGTGCCACATAACTAAAACTTTAAAGATCCTCCTGTTGCTTAGGGAAATTAGAGGCAGAGTTTTACTCTTTTGCAATGGAAATCTTACAATTCGTTGACATTTCTACAGGTATTTGCATATATTAGTTAAATTATTTTTCAAATGTTTCCAAAAACAAGGAGAAATCATCTGCAGGGATGCACCCCAAGTGATGTTCTGTAGGGAGAGAGGTTGAGGGACCATACTTCGACCCCATTATATGTGTGTTGGTAGGTACTGAACTGAGTTTCCCCCAGATTTGTACATTGGAGTCCTACACCCCAGTGTGTAGACAGGTCCTGTGAGGAGGTGAAAATGGTTGTATGAGATCATAAGTACAGGTCCTAATCCAATAGAGCCGGTGCCCTTATAAGAAGAGACACCAGAGCTTTCTCTCCATCCTGTCAGGGCAGCAGTGAGAAGATGGTTGTCTGCAAACCAGGGAGAGAGCTGTCCCCAGAAATCGACACTGCTGGATCTTGATGTGAGACTTCCATTCCACAGAGTTGTGAGAAAATAAATTTCCTATCGTTTAAGCCACCCAGTCTGTGGTATTTTGTTATGGCAGCCTGAGCCAATTTGTACACATGTTGTAATTTTATATTTTTCTCATAATAAGCACATATCATTTCATGATGAAAATATTTAACTGTAGGGAAAAGAATTATGTTATAAAAGTAGCATCTCCATATTTCAGAAAATTTGAAAAATTGTAAAAATGGAGAAGAAATCCTGTATTTCTTTTTACTCTTTTGTCTTGCAAATTTATATCTGTACACATTTTATAGCTGTAATTATATACTGTGTTTAAATTTGATCTAATATTCTGCATTTCCTGTGGTAAGGTAAATATTAATATGCTTACCAATGTTTATAACTATAATTTAAAGGATTACAAAATATTTTTTTGAGTTGATATATTTTATCAATATTTTATTTAACCAATTTGTTTATGGCTGAACATTTTTGTTATTTATACTTTTTGGCTATTATGAAAAACAGTGTACTAGATATAGCCAGGCATATGGCTTTTTAAAGTTGGACTTC